GGAGGTAAACCACGGGGTCAAAGTTTAATGAAGGTCATGTACTTACACACTCTCCAAGTATCTCCCCATGTTGTCTTTTGTAACCAAATATGTTTTTTTTTTTATTTTATTTTTTTTTATTTATTTTTTTTTTATTATAAATTAATTTTTATTGGTGTTCAATTTACCAACATACAGAATAACACCCAGTGCTCATCCCGTCAAGTGTCCCCCTCCGTGCCCGTCACCCATTCACCCCCACCCCCCGCCCTCCTCCCCTTCCACCACCCCTAGTTCGTTTCCCAGAGTTAGGAGTCTTTATGTTCTGTGTCCCTTTCTGATATCTCCCACACATTTCTTCTCCCTTCCCTTATATTCCCCTTCACTATTATTCATATTCCCCAAATGAGTGAGAACATACACTGTTTGTCCTTCTCTGATTGACTTACTTCACTCAGCATAATACCCTCCAGTTCCATCCACGTTGAAGCAAATGGTGGGTATTTGTTGTTTCTAATGGCTGAGTAATATTCCATTGTATACATAAACCACATCTTCTTTACCCATTCATCTTTCGATGGGCACCAAGGCTCCTTCCACAGTTTGGCTATTGTGGACATGGCTGCTAGAAACATCGGGGTGCAGGTGCCCCGGCGTTTCATTGCATCTGAATCTTCGGGGTAAATCCCTAACAGTGCAATTGCTGGGTCGTAGGGCAGGTCTATTTTTAATTATTTGAGGAACCTCCACACAGTTTTCCAGAGTGGCTGCACCAGTTCACATTCCCACCAACAGTGTAAGAGGGTTCCCTTTTCTCCACATCCTCTCCAACATTTGTTGTTTCCTGCCTTATTAATTTTCCCCATTCTCACTGGTGTGAGGTGGTATCTCATTGTGGTTTTGATTTGTATTTCCCTGATGGCAAGTGATGCAGAGCATTTTCTCATGTGCATGTTGGCCATGTCTATGTCTTCCTCTGTGAGATTTCTCTTCATGTCTTTTGCCCATTTCATGATTGGATTGTTTGTTTCTTTGGTGTTGAGTTTAATAAGTTCTTTATAGATTTTGGAAACTAGCCCTTTATCTGATATGTTATTTGCAAATATCTTCTCCCATTCTGTAGGTTGTCTTTGAGTTTTGTTGACTGTATCCTTTGCTGTGCAAAAGCTTCTTATCTTGATGAAGTCCCAATAGTTCATTTTTGCTTTTGTTTCTTTTGTTTTCGTGGATGTATCTTGCAAGAAGTTACTGTGGCCAAGTTCAAAAAGGGTGTTGCCTGTGTTCTCCTCTAGGATTTTGATGGAGTCTTGTCTCACATTTAAATCTTTCATCCATTTTGAGTTTATCTTTGTGTATGGTGCAAGAGAGTGGTCTAGTTTCATTCTTCTGCATGTGGATGTCCAGTTTTCCCAGCACCATTTATTGAAGAGACTGTCTTTCTTCCAGTGGATCGTCTTTCCTCCTTTGTCGAATATTAGTTGACCATAAAGTTCAGGGTCCATTTCTGGATTCTCTATTCTGTTCCATGTTTTTATTAGCACATTAAAATGTGCTAGCTAAAAATGAACATTTCAGGCTTGCCACGCCACACTCATCAAATCAGAATGCCTGGGATTAGATCCCAAGAATCAGCTTTTTAATAAGCACAATTAAATGTCGTAACCACTGACTTAGTGCTTCCAATCTCCGAATTGATAGGAACTCAACTCCTGTCCTCTTACTCTGTCCTGGATGGCTGGAAGGGTGATGACAGGTATCAGAATCACCAATTTCATTTCCTCTTGATTCCGATTTTGATCTGATCATTTCAGACCAGAGTGAAATGCTCTTTATTGACTGGGAGCCCTTGTGCTTGCTGCAAAGCATCTTCTTTTTTTTTTTTTTTTTTTTTGCCAATCAAGGAACAAAGAATTCATGTCACTAAACATACAGTGTTCTACTTGTTATCCATGTGGTTTTAATTAAGTTTTAACCAATTCCCTTTATCTTGTCATAGTTATTATGACCCTCCAAGTTATGTCACATTAATATGTGAAAACAGCCTCCTGGCATGTCTGGCCAAAGAACAAAGCCATTATGACCTGTCTTACTAAATTAAAATGGGGAGACCAGTCAACTTGCATTTTGTTGCCTTCTTCGATAATTTATGTTAAAGGTGAGCAAAGGTTCAAAGGAGACAACACATTGCAGCCTGTCATCCCCACCACATATACAGCAAATAAAAGTATTGCAGACTTTAAAATGTACATACATCACAAGAGAAAAGAAAAACAAGGTAGTGTATGTCAAGGAAGCAATTGGTAGCAATCAATTTGATCTGTTGCAACTCAAACTTTCAGATTTATAAAAGTCTCTATAATGACCATATTTTCCCCTAATATCAAGTTGGCACATATTATTAGACAAAGATTTTTTTTTCCAATTCATGAATTTGCTTAAGAGAAAGATTTGCAAAGGTACACAAATGAAATCCCATTTGTCTGATTGCTATTTATTGGAAACAGTGAAATTGGAAACTCACCTGGGAAAATCTGGGAATAGAGTCACTGCAGGTAGAAACTACATTTTGGGTAAAACAAGACAAGGTAGGTTGCAAAGGATAGTACATGTTCCTGCTGCTACTGAAAACAGATGCTGACTACTCTGGGTGTGTTTAATGCAAGCACTTTTGAAGCCTCTTGCTGTGCAAACTCTCAAGTTACTGCACAGGACAGGACTGCTAAGCCTCATTAAATCCTTTTGCTGATAGATATTTTGGCACTTACTCACCAAGTGGCCTGTGTGTGCAGTTTAAGAGATCCTTATTTTTTAAAATACAATTCTCATTGATTAATCTTTATATATAGCTATCATTTCTTGAGCACCTGCCATAGGCCATGCACCATGCTGAGTTCTATTCCCCACGCTAATTTAATTCAAATAGTAAGCCTAGAAGGTAAGCATTACTGTCCCTATACATGATGAAGGTACTGAGCTCACAGACATTAAGTAACTTGCTTGTCAGTAATTGAATCAGATTTGAACCTGGGTCTCTGACTTCCAAACCTATAGTACCTAGCTCATTCCAATGCACTCACAAGACCCTTGCAAGAGTGATGAGTTCCAGGCATGCTGTCAACCTCTCTGTTCTGGGTTCTCTCTAGTTTGCTTTTTCACCCTATAAGCAGGACTTTATATTCTGGTGCCTGGCCAGGGTCAGTCACAATTCCTCCCTGTTATGTCCCCATGGCTCATTTACTTTCTTTATCATAACAAAGACACATTACCCCATTTTGTTCTACACATTCAGTGTTTCTATTCACCACTTCATTGTAAGCTCCATGAGGGCAGGAGCTGGGTCTCTGTTGGTCACAACTATATCTAGTATATCTCAGGGCACATAGTAGGTGCCCAGTGAATATTGAATATACAAGTGAGTGAGTGTTGTACTAAAACCATCACTTAGTTTCTTGTCTTAGTGGAGTCTTTTCTTCTTCAGACCTGAGATTGCTCCCTTATAGTTATTACACCTTTTCTTTCTCTTCTACTGATTTGTCTTATCGGGACATGTAGTAGGTGGAGGAGCCAAGGCACAGATGCAGGTGTTTCTTATGTTAGTGTTCACATCCTTTCCTTCACCCTACACTGTGTTTAAAAGTATAAACGAGGCTTCTGGCTTTAAGTCCTATCAAACCACTGGATGGTTCTTTTGTTTCTATTTTCTATCTCTAACACTAATTTTTAACTGGCTGAGCATCATAGCCAGAAAACACCACCCTTGAATGTCCTGCTTACTCAGCTGAAAGCAGCAGCTGTTCCAATAAGCAATTTGAGGTTCAGCACCTGAGATTGGCTCCCTCTTTTAAGCAAGACTGCAAGCTCAACAGAATGTAAAAAAGCATGAAAAGGTTTCCTAGCCTGTTTCTCTTAATGTAGCAAGGAAATCAGCACAGGTTGAGGAAGGATATTTGCATTCTGGGCAAGGAGAACTGGCTCCTACATGTATAATTTCAGCTGAACTTCTTTTGATGGGGTCCTGGAATTAAGAATGATTTGTATATCAAGAGCTATAAAAAAAAGACTAAGAGATGGTTTTGTTATTATCACTATTGTCTGTCCCAAGTGGTGTACTGGTAAATGTGGCTTTCCCTTCAGCAAAGCCCTGATTTGTGGTGTTTGCCAATTTCTGTGGTGTAAATACTCCCATTGTGGCTATTTCAAACTAGCAACGTGATGTCATTAAATGCATAATAGAGAGGTACTGCACACAACCTGTTCCCATAAACTATTATAAGCACATTTCTGTTTGTTTTGATCCCATTAACTCCTACTTGGAAACAGTGGTCATTTAGGGCCTGAGCCAGGCCTGAGATCTCCCATGGGAGACAATGGTGGGTCGTGAGGCAAAGGGTCAAGCTAGTGCTTGAGGCAGACAGACAAGGCCCATGGGCTAGAGAGGACATAGGCAGACATCCCATCTGGTGGGCAGGGGGTGGGGGTGTAGAGCGAGTCAAGGTGAAGGTCTAAAACCTAAAAGTTTAGCACAAAGGCGATAGATTTAGAGTGGAAACATTGGTGACACCACTGACATCTGATTGACCTTAGATTTGTTACTGAATATCTCCATGCTTCAGTTTCTTCAGCTATAAAATAGGGATATATAATAATAATTCTTATCTTAAAGAGATTGCTGGATGATGGGTTATTATGATAGATGTAAAGTGCTTAGCATGGTGCCTGGCACAGAATAAGTACTAGATGCAGAGTCGCTATTTCAGTTCGGTGGGAATGTGGGAGAGCAGATGGGGCTTCCAGAGAAATGGCCTCAAACACTGGGAGCTGGTTGCTGCTTATCTTCATGGCCTGGCAGTAGGTCTGTATGGGTTGGCTGTACTAAAGGGTCAGGCAGGAGGTGGATTGCTCAGTGTAACTGTCGGTGAGAAAAAGAATCAAAACACTTTTTAATAATTGACGTTATATTTTTTTTGGCCTGTTTTCTAAACTGCTAAAAGAAAAAAATCTCATTCTTTTCTTTGTGACAGGTTGTGTAAAAAATCCTTAAGTCGAATCTGAGGTGGCTCAAGAAGAACCAAAAGGTGCCTTCTCACGCTGAAATCATGTCAAAGAAGAGATGAGAAACTGTATATATAGAAAGGGAGAAGAGGTGAGAGAATTATTATTACTGGAACATGAAATTTTAGCTCTGAGCTTCCTGGTCAGTAAGGGAGGAAATATGTGGATGGAACATGTTACATAGCCCTCAGCACGCAGGCCAGTTCTTCATGAGAATGTTGTCTTCTCTGTTCTATTGTTTTTGCTGTTAAATTCCAATGGATTGCTTTGGTCACACATGAAGTATCCATGGCCACCAGTCTTTTCTGATTTTCCAGAGTCTGTAAACTTGAGAAAATCAACCACTGAGAATTTATTGGGCCTTTTCTAAGAAGTGCGTTATGTCTTTCTAATGGGCCTGCACTTTCACTTCTGCTCTCGATCTTCAAACAGCAGCAAAAGTCATCTTAACATGTACATTGGACCATGCCTTGGGAGTTGAACCAAACTCTACGGTGGACCATGTCACCTTGCATAGTGTGACTCCAACGTCAGCTCTAGGCTCTGCCCTGCTTCTGCTCTGTTTCACTGCTTCCTCTCTTCTCCCTTTTGCACCTGACCTTCCCTTGGCCTGGGATGCTCCCTCCCCATTTTCACTGAGATGTCTCCTCTGCCACCCGTTGCCTTCTCAGCCTTCACAGGTGGCAATTTCTAAAGCAGATTTCATCCCTGTTTATCTCTCTCTCTCAGCTTCTTTTTTTGCTTCTCTAACTGGCATTGGAACAAGCTATATTTGGTAAGATAAGATGAGGAAATAACTTTATTTTTCACCTACCACAGCTTCAAACCTGCTTGGGAAGGATTTGCCAAGGATGATATTACAAGCAAATCCTGTGGCTTTTGTGGTAAAATTTGAGTATTAAGATCGCCTTGTTTTTAGATGAGTTAGTCCAGTCCAATGTAATGTGAAAACTTCAGTTCCTTGTCAGTTTAAGGTATTTTCCATGCTTTTAGTTTCAAGCTTGACATAAGGTCCTGTTGACCAGTATCCCACTGCCCAGGGACCAGAGGAAATAGAGGTTTGTGGTCTGATCTATTTTCCACCTTCTTCTATCTACTGCCTGCTGGACTTCCACTGGCATTTCAGCCAGACTGAGAGTGGAATAAGAGGCACAATAAAGTCTTTTTAGGTAGCTGGTGTGGTTTGCAGTTCTTTGATGGTCAAGTGTCCACTGTCAATGTAGATAAGCAATTGCTGTTTCTTCCTTGACACAAGCCCCCACTGGTGGTCTCCTTCCTGCCATTCTCATCCCAGGGTGGGGGTACCCTCTGGCTTCCCTCCTGGGAATCACTGTTCCTTCCATTCCTTCTCAGAGCTTTACCTCACACCACCTCTATCTGCTAGGGTGGTGGCACTCCACTGGGAAGTCCTCTCAAGACTGTTCAGCCCACTCTGCCCACCAGAAGCATTAGGCACCTTGTCCTGTGGCACTCCAGAGGGCCAGGTCACTCCCAAGGCAGCCGGCTTCTCCTTTTGCACTTTTTCTCTGATCTTTGTGCACCAGGATACATGAGAGCTCCCCTACTGTCATCATGTTCTGCTCTCATGCCATGGCAGCACTGGGGACCAGAAAGCCTTCTTACCACCTACCTGCAGCTTTACTCCTTAACCTCTAGGTTTCCCTCATCTGTGCAATTTGGGAGAAACAGGTGGACTATGGGTCATAGGACCAAAGACTGGTTTTAGCTGCCTCTTAGACAATCCTGAATGGTAAGTCTATACCTTTATACCTTCATTAGAATTTGCTGGGGGAGTCGAGTGGGTTTTCTTTATCACTTATTCTCTGTTTGAGGCTTTGAGAAAACATCCCAAATTCCACCTGATATTTTATTACGTTTTATGTAATTATTTATTTTTATCAGGAGCTCAGCCTAAGGAGAGAGTGCTGAGCTGCCAGGTATAGGAGTAGCTAATTAAAGGATAAAGAACCAAAGTTTAAGCAAAAGGGAAGCCTTTTGGGGAAGGTGATGGGGTCCACAAGAGGCTAAGCCAGAGCAAATGCTGCCTCCCCATATCCCATTTCCCCCCATGGAATGGCATCCTGGTGGAGGTCATGTGGGTTACCATTGGCATGGGGGTTGTCTGGTCCTAGAGGGAGCCCTTAACAAAAGGTTCCTGCAATTTTATGGATGCTGGTGGAGGGAGGGGGAGGGACTGTAGGGACAGGGAGAGGAGAGGGGGAGGGGTGGGGGGAGGGAATGGTAAACTACTGGGTACCCAGAGTGAAAAAACTTGTCTTCAAGGTTTTCCCTTTCCTTTCCCATGAGTTTGGTTTGGCAGAGGTACCTGAGGATCTTGGATAAAGAGACCTAGGAATGAAAGTGCTTGGCTAGGAAAGCAAATACATAGAGTGTGACCAGAGGGGCCAGAGTCCTTGACTACATCTCCTTCAGAGGCTGCACTGCACTGGCTGTCCCCAGGCAGGTGTGAGGAGGGCAGCTGTCCTCCATGAGGCCGCCAGGTAGGGCCTTTGGAGTTGCCTGTGGCTGGTCCTGAAAAATCACACATACTTTTTAAACCAGGAGCCAGACTCTTCAATGTTATTTATGCATTTATTATCTTTCTTCTCTGGAATGATGCTGGTTTCTCTAGTACAAAACACAGTGCCTGGAACATAGTAGGTATTGATAAGTGCTCACTGAGTAAGTGGAGGAATGCCGGGCTGGTGGGCTACAGAGAGAAGATCCCCTAGTGGCCTTCACAGAGTTACATTTGTTGAAGTCCCAGTGTCTCCTCTGGCAGCTCATGCTTAACCTCCAAGAGTCATTTATTACTATTAGAGGAAAGAAAACTGACTCTGATGGGGGGCACAGGGGAGGCTTCAAAGGCAGGGCATGGCTTGAATTAGTGGGTCGGTTATGGATGGGATTTGGAGAGGGGAACTCAGGAAAACGCCATTTGGCTCATAAACTTGACGTCAGACTCGCCCACACTTACTAGAGCCATCTGTCTTGATATCTCCCACTTCCCCAGCGGAACACTTAGAGCATGCAAATATCTGCTGGCAGCACGCTGCTCCCCACCAGCACCAAACAGGGAGGGAAAAGAGAGGGTGGTATTTTGGGACTCAGATCCTGAATCTCATTTAGTCCACTCTTTTTTCTGGCGTGGACATTTCATTTCCTTGGGCTGTAGATCAGTGCTTGTATTTTTTTTTTCCTCCAAATCATTTTTACTCTCTTTCATCCTCTGTCACTGCTTCATGCTTCTACTGGATTTTAAGCTTCTGTTTATTGAATGGGGATGAGCGCACATTTGGGTTTGTACAAATGCACAAAGAAAGGAGATTTGCAAATGCGTGACAGTCGTCATTGTATTCTAGGAAACTTTGATCCACACAACCTATGAACCTTAACCCTCCCGTCCTTGACTGTGGGGGTGGTGAGTGCGCATTGTTCCCTAAGCATTTAGTCATTTGAAGAAAAATCAAGCAAAACCCCAGGATCATAGAATCCTGGTGTCAGAGAACTTTTAAATTCTACCATATGTTAAAGGCAAAATTTATCTCTTGGGTAGAAAGGAAAATGCTTTGGTAGGCCTTTCAGTTGAAGAAAGCAAACCCCCTCCTACCATCTCCCACCCACCCTAGGAGTTGCCATTGGATGGGTAAGGATGAGATCAGTAGACACTGGAATACACTTATATGGTAAAACACGACAGATTTTTTTAGTATCAAATTGCAGACAAGACAAGAAGTTGTCAGGGGCCCAGGAACCTCAAGTAGGGCCAGTGGAGGAAACCAAGAGATGCTGCTGGCTGCTGACACACAGGGAGGAGCCACAAACTGTATATTTCTAGGGTTTGGTATCTGACTTCTAATTTGAAGTTGTTTTCTGCTCTATGCTCCAAATATCTTCTGCTACTCTCAAAAATGTCAGTAAAAATCTGCTCCACACAATTGTCTTGTGTTAGGGACACCCTGAGGAGTAAATGCAGAGTGGAATTCTGTAAGTCAGAGGGTCCAGGTGGTATGGGCAATAATGACACAGGCTTTGGGGTGAGCTGACTCAGAAGCAGACAGGAAGGAAGGAAGAAGAAATCTGCAGGGATGCTTCATCTGTAGGAGGAAGGTGGCCATTGAAGGACTAAGAAGAACCTGATTTTGACTTTACCTTGTCTGTGAATTCCATCTTTCAAACATCCATACACTTGATGAAATGCTTTCTTGATTGTCATCCAAATCATTGATACAGAGCAGCAACAGACCTGAAGAGGATGCCGTTTCTTGGGGTTGCAGTATCAGAAGCCACCTTTGGAGACCTACAGCCATGTGCCAATTGGAATCCTTGGGTCTCCTAGTTACAAACTATCCACTCTGTGTCTTCACCAGGCCACACTTCTCCAGAAGGACATTTTGATATATCTTTTCCGATGTATCTGGAAACCAGAAAGTCCAGGTCTGACGAGTTTTCTATACTTTCTAAATTAGGAACCACATTTGAAATGGGAATAGATCGATCAGATATGATTGATTTATCATAAACATGCTACATCCCTTTGGCTGTTTTTGATGTTCTGAATGGTCGCAAACCTGGTATCTAATAGACTTCTCCTCTGTCAGGGCTGGACGTGACTGCAGTGATGGATCATCTAATCCCACAGCCTCATTTTGTAGAAGGCCCTGAACTTCTACTTGGCTAAGGTCATATGGCTGGTAAAATGTAGGGAATTGAATTGAATTTGTAATAAACATATCCTTCCCCAGTTTTCTTCTACATGCTTTTTGGGGGTAGAAGATGTGAATGTACTCTGTAGCTCAACTGCAGTCTTTTTATGTTAGCTTCTGAAATGTGCATGTACTGTTATTCCAAACAGAAACTAAACTCTTCTAAGGACAGGTACTTCTATTATTTGTACCAGAGGCCAAGGGTGCTGCTGACCATCCCATAATGCACAGAACTGTGCTCTGCAGCAAAGAATTATCCAGCCTCAAACTCCTCTAAGAACAGGTCTATTATCATTTGTATTGTGTTCCCTCTTTGTATCCTGTATTAAAGAACTTTGCAGAAAACATTCAGTTCTGTGTACCTATATTCAACTGAAGTTATTTA